CTGGACTACTTCACAGGGTTGTTGTGAGGATATAACGGGGGAGAGTTGGAACCCTGTAAGCTGCTTCAGGTCCCCATTGGGTATAAATAAATAAATTAGTGAGGAGTATGTGTGCGATCCATGTGAGAGTTTTTCCTGCCAGTCTGCACCTTCAGTGCCTCCTTTATTTATTTACTTTATTTATACCCCACCTTTCTCACCAATGGGGCCCCCAAACAGCTTACAGTATTCTCCCATTGTTGTGTGTCCTCACAACAACCCTGAGAGGTAGGCGGAGGGTGTGCGACTCGCCTAGGGTCACCCAGCAAACTTCCATGGCAGAGTGGTGATTCAAACCTGGATTTCCCAGATCCTAGCCGAACCCTTTAACCACTACACCATGCTGGCTCTTTGGCTGGAAAGACCTCTTGCTGTCAGCCCCACTCATATTGCTGGGAGATATATGTGTATGACTGAGGGCCACCTGTCTTTGCCACTGGTCGTATGTTAAATTTCTCCTTGTCACTTGACGGGATCGTGAGGCAGTGCAGTCTCTAAACTGTTTCATGCTGGCTAGAGAAAGTCAATCACCTGATAAATAGTTGTGGGCTTTCCCCTGTGTCATCCTGCCAGGCCAGAAGAATTCCATAGATACTAAATCACTGTCTGTGTTGCCCTTTCTAGAACTGCTGTGAGAGAGTGTGGGTGAAGGACCACATGTGGCTGTGTATGGCAGTGGCAAAACGGTTCAGTTTCCTCCTGCAGCAAGGTGTCAGGCCCCGAATCCTGAGGAACGGAAGCCGGGATTTCTGTATCCTCCAGCACCCTTGCTCGGCAGGCTGCAGACAAAGTCTCAGTTGATGGAGGGGAGTTCTATCTCTATCTCAACCTTGGCCCCCTTTTCCTGTGAAAGCATATGCTGTGCTCACTAGTGTGTAATGTGTTTGTAGTGGGAGTTAAATCCTTCTCTTGGAGGGCTCTGGATTCTCTGTGCAGACTTCTGGTCTTATATGTGTGCGTAATAGATAGAATGAAGACATAGAAATAGATTTATCGCCATATGTTGATTTTTGGGGTCTTCTGTGCATGGGTGATGTGGGGGCATCAGTACCGATCATCGCGGCTGTTGGATGACAACGGAGTTGTTAGGAATGCTGTCAGTGGCCATCTGTGCTGCTAGTGAACTGTTGTGCCTGCAACTATTTTGGTCGTGTTCTCTTGGCTGCTGGTTGACCATACAATCGAAAACTACAGTGTACTACCCATAGCTCTGGTGCAGCAGTCCTTCCCATAGCTCTGGTGCAGCAGTCCTTCCATCCCCCCAGTGTACCAGGACCAGTGTTCCCTCTAAGCTGAGTTAGTGTGAGCTAGCTCACAGTTTTTTAGCCTCTGGCTCACACATTTTTGTCTTAGCTCAGGAAGGATGGCTCCAGAGCAAACTGATTTATGCACTAGCCACATCACTTGCTCACAACTTTAATGCCAGTAGCTCGCAAAGTAGAATGTTTGCTCACAAGACTCCACAGCTTAGAGGGAACATTGAAGACTATGCAGTTGTCCTTTCAGAAGCTCTCATAGGTTCACAACGTGAGTTTCTGTAAGCTGCTGTGAATGCAGCTTTTCTTTTTGTAATTCATACTGCTTGTATTGCCATGCTTCTCCATTGCCCTGTTTTTGTTCCACAGTCTTACCCTGTAAGGGGGAGGGGGGAAATTCCAGTAGTATGAGAAAAGGGGTAAATCAGTTTTAGTGTACTTTTAGTAAAATAATAAGAAACAGTGAAATTCAGTGTAGGTAAGGCTGAGGTGCTTTTGGCTCACAATAAGGCCGTTTGAGATTTGAGGAAACAGCCTGTGCTGGGTCAGTCGTACTCCCCTTTAAAGAGCACATTAGTATGCTTGACAGTGCTATTAGATAGGATGTTAATTGTAGAGTTTGTTTTATTGATTGTAAAGTTGTTATTGTATGGGAATTTTTTTAAAAAAAAATAAGTTCGAAGACAGAGCTATTAGATCCTGGCCCATAGATGTAGGCGTGGCTCTCATCTGTAGCACCTTTAACCAACTGGAATGAGGGGGAGACTTCCTTGATTTCACCACTGTTATCCAGACGCTGATGACATCCAGTTTTTACTACTGTAATGAGCTCTACACAGGGCTGCTTCTTCCTGTTCAGAAACTTCAGCTGCTTCAAAATGTGGTGGCAGGATTCCTCACTCAATGGTATGCCTTATCGGGATTGTATCTCACTTGTTTAAAAGAAGTTCTTTGCAGCCTACCAGGTTTCTTCTGAATACAGTCTGAGGTGCCGTGTGGTGGCAGGATTCCTCACTCAATGGTATGCCTTATCGGGATTGTATCTCACTTGTTTAAAAGAAGTCCTTTGCAGCCCACCAGGTTTCTTCTGAATGCAGTCTGAGGTGCCGGTTATAAAGCCCCGTGCAGAGTGGGAACAGAGCTATTCTCCCCTGCAAACCTGACCTCTGGTTAAGACTGTCTTCAGAGTCCCTGTTGCGTCTGCTCCACTGGCAGAAGCAAGGTGGCTGAGCAGCAGAGGTGGGACTTTTTCAGTGGCATCACCCAGGCTGTGAAATTCCCACCTCTCGGTGGCTTGCCTGGCACTAAAACTGCCAGTCTTGTAGACAACAGGCAAAAGTGTTTTTATTCTCTCAAGCCTCTTTATAAACACCCACCCACTGTAGAAATTTTAATTGGAGACCCCTTAATCCTTGCCCAGTGATTAAGCTTTTATTTGTGATTATTGCTAGAAATTGTGTGCTTATGGAATGTGCTGCCTTTAAATACCGGATTTGTCTTATGGCTTGATTTAACACCAGAATTCTGTATTATGTTTTAACCCCCTGATGCTACTTCAGAATGTTTTTTACCTGCTGGTGTTGCTTTTAATTCTCTTTAGTTTGGCTTGATTTTTAGTTTTGTATTTCTTTTTTAATGGTTTCATGCATGAAGGATATATATTTAAACGAATAGTTAGCTGTTCTCTTTAATCCTTTCTTCCCTCTTACTCAGTTGAGTTACATTCAGACATCACATGTAACCTGTGGTTAAGGAAAGTTGTAACCTATCCTGTCTTGCTGCTTGGCCCATGAGCCTCAATCGTCCTCTTCCCCCTCTTTTCTTGCAACAGAAATAGCTGTTAAATGTTAACTATGGTCATCTGTGATGTATGAATGCACGCATGCAGGTTAACTGGTGTTTTTCCCCTAGAAAGGATACTAGGCTTAGATGAAACCTTGGTTTAGGATCCCAGGAAAACTAACTCTGGCCAACCCATAAACCTATATTCATGGGCCAAAGGTAATTAGGGTCAATATGTAACCGTGATTCTCAGGACAAAATGGGGGAGGAGAGACAGGAACACGGTGCATGATTTCAGCAACGATCCAGGTTTGTTCCCATTTTTTTCGTAACCTGGATGCCACTTCAGTTGCTTGCCCAATTAGGTCCTCTTAAATTTTCTCAGCAGATCCAGTATAACGTAAACATTTGTACCAGGGTTGTCAAACATACAGCCCGTGGGCTGGAACCGGCCTGTCCAGGGCCCTTATCTGGCTTGCAAACAACAGTGAAGCAGCGCAGCGAGGGTTGGTGAAGCCACTACTTGGGGGGTGGGGTGGAGCTGAGTCTCAGAAGTGAGTGGAGGAGCAAAGGGGAAAAAGGGTTCCGCTGCTACATATCTGAATAGCATGGAGTCAGGAGGCAGAATGGGTGGGGGGCGGTGACCTCCCTTTTCCCCCTCCCACCTGTTCTCAGCCCATGAGGGAAAAGGGGTCATGGGAGGACAAAAAGTGCCCCCTGGAGGTTTTGGAAACAGCATCTCTGTCAGGCCCTCATCTCAGCCCTGCTGCTTCTGTGGGAAATGCAGGAGGGATGAAAACTGGGGGTTGGGGGATCCGAAGGGGGCAGATTCAGACCCCCTCTATTCCTGAGCCAGGACCCTGTTGTTTGGGTCACCTGGGGCCTGGTCATCAGCCTGACCCACCTCACAGGGTTGTTGTTGTTGGGGATTGGGAGGTAGAGGGGGGAGTCCAGTGTGCCTCCTTGAGATCTTGAGGACCTTCTTGTATAGTTCTGTGTATTCTTGCCACCTCTTCCTAATCTCTTCCGCTTCTGTTAGGTCCCGACCGTTTTTGTCCTTTATCATGGCCAGCTTTGCATGGAATGAACCCTTGATTTCTCCAGTTTTCTTGAAGAGATCTCTAGTCCTTCCCATTCTATTGTTTCCCTCTATTACTTTGCATTGTTCATTCAGGAAAGCCTCCTTATCTTTCCTTGCTGTTCTCTGGAAATCTGCATTCAGTTGGGTAAATCTTTCCTTTTCACCTTTGCCTTTCACTTTCCTTCTTTCCTCTGCTATTTGTAAAGCCTCATCAGACAGCCACTTTGCTTTCTTGCATTTCTTTTTCTTTGGGATGGTGGTGATTGCTGATTGTAGACTTGTTGTATTAATAATATTGCAGATAATAATTGTAGACTTACCTGTTGTATTAATAATATTGTAGATTTACCTGTTGGATTGTTGAAAACCTACCTGTTAAAATAGTGGATTTACCTGTGGGTTTTTTGTAAACACTGCATATATAGAATTACTACTAGGTTCATTGTAGACTTATCTGTTGTATTATAGAAATATTGTAGATTTACCTGTTGGACTGTTGAAACCTGTTGGATTATTGATAAAATTGTGGATGTACCTATTGGATTTTGTAAATAGTACACGGAGTATTCTTATTTGAATTACTACCAGTTATATTGTTATTACTCGTTAGTAGATTGTTTTATTATTCTGTTCTGTTCTTAGCGTCCTTCTGCACAGTTTTGTAATCTTTTGTAGGTCTATTTGAGTCTTTTTTAGGAGAAAAATGTGATAAAGATATTTCAGATAAATACAATAAAAATAATCTCATTTGGGTTGCAAGTAGTGACAAAGGTGGTTTTTTTGGATATGAATTTTGTTTGATTTAATATTTCAAACACTTTTGTTTGCTTTTTCTTTCTCAGATTGCTGTTTTCAAAAGTCAAATTGGAGTCTCTTTGCAGGGGACCTGATGAAGCCCTCCTGACTTGTAAGCACATGCTGCAGATCTGGAAGTCCTGTTACAATCTCACCAACCCCAGGTAAGACAGCATGGAAGGACCAGATAGTAGTTCGTATCCACAGGAATGCTTCCACAGATGAAAGAATATCTGCGTGCAGAGCATAACATTCTTTGCTGAAATGTGCCTTCCTCCTTCCCATGCCCAAGGAGCAGAATTTCAGGGGGAGGTGAGAAAGTTGTGCTCTGCAGGCAGAAACAGTGCAGTAGATCCAAGCCAATGCATTGTGCATCATCTGATTAGCATTAAATTAAAGTTAGCATCTAATCGTTGCCTGTTCACATAAGTCGTCCTTAGGATCTACTGCTGGATCCAGGTTGCACTTCAAAAAAAGTCAGTTTATCATTGTAGTGTCTCAGGCTGTTTTTCTCCTGTGGTTATGACAGGATGAATGGGTCTGGCTTGATTTCTGTATAATCTAAAAGTCAGGTAATAAAGATAAAGTTTCTCTCCAGTGTTAAGGGATGATTGTGTCCATTGTTATTGGGGCAAATATTTATTTATTAAAATATTTATATCTCAGCTTTCTGAAGTCCGAATGCGACTTTCATGCTTTGAAAACACAGCGATAGCAATAAAACCAGCAGTGCAGTAAAGAGAGGAACAAGACCAACTAAGAGCAAACTGTCAAAGTTACAAAGCAGCCATTTTCTCAAGGCGAACTGGTCTCTGTCACTCAGAGATCACTTATAATTCCAGGAGATCCCCAGCCGCCACCTGGAGGTTGGCAACCCTACTTACTGATAAGGCTGTGCTTTCTCATTTGTGAGGTAACTCATTAAAAAGTCATGTTCGTATTTCAACTTTCATTCAGTGATGCCTTAATCTTTTGACGTGAGCCATGCTAGTGTTGACATTGCCCTTACGTGTGGCGCTTTATTGTTTTCCCCCAGTCTACTTTGAGGTAAACACACATTTGTTGAGCCTTCTACTGATTCTTCTGTGACCTTATGCATGCTCTGTGATGGCCCATACTTTTGGTGTTAGGTCTGCTGGAGAGGCAAATCCCAGTAAAGGAATTTGTGGCAGGAAAGATATGAAGAGCCAGCCTTCATATTTTATAAAACCAGTTCAGCAGCAAATGCAGTTTTCATCAGAACAGGAATTTTGGTCATATCATGAAAACATCAGTTAGGGCACCCTCGTAGTTATTTCTATGCCCTTGTGTAGCTCTAAGATTTTTTGATTTTAGTTCTTTATAGTGCTTTGGTGTATGTATATTTTTGTAACTTAGAATATTATTTGCTAAAAACTGTGGATAAAGTTTTGTTTCACTTATTCAGGAATACATACCTGTTCTTGTGTCTCTACTGTGAGACAGTTTTGTTTTTGCTAATAAAAGGTAAAGGTTTGAAATTCAAAGTATCCATGTTTTCAACCTAAAAACATGGTTGCCTTTGGTCTCAAATAATGTGTAACTGGAACTGGCATAACGTAGAAAATTCATCTCTAACCAACTGTGTTTTTAAATAGTTGTTTATCCAGAAGAGCTACCTAAATTGAATGCACTAATGTAATTTAACATATGATATGAACAGCGTTCTGTACAGTAGTCTGAAAGTGCTTTAACATTTTGGTTTAATTTTTCAAAAGTGAATCAATTTCAAAAACTTCCAGTTCTTTGCTTTTTCAAGCCTCTCAGCTGTGTTTAAAAAAAAACATACTTTTTAAAAACCTGATGTTTCTATCCCTATGTTTTGACTTTTACATTAGTTCATAGCATTTAAAGTTCTATAACACACTCTATATAGGAATCCATTATAGCGGTGGTGGAAAGTGCCCTCAAGTCACAGCCAACCTATGGTGATCCCTAATGGGGTTTTCAAGGCAAGAGACATTCAGAGGTGGTTTGCCATGGCCTACCTCCGCATCATACACCGGGTATTCTTTGGAGGCCTCCCATTCAAATACTGGCCAAATACTGCTTAGCTTCTGAGATCTGATGACATCAGGCTATCCTGGGCTATCTAGGTCAGATCAAGCTGTTATAAAATAATATGTATTTGCGTTGCCTGTGACCAAGAGAAAACAGGTAATAGAGGCTGATTTCGCACTAGAGCTGCCTTGATGTTGCGCCGCCGTTTGCCCCGATACTATTGGTCAATTTCACACCCGAAGCTGCAGGGCTGCATTTTGACTCGCGGCTTCGCCCAATTTCCCCCCCCAGTTTCGTGATCCTGTTTTTTGAGGATCACGAAACTGCGGAGGAAATTGGGTGAAGCCGTGGGTCAAATGCAGCCCCGTGGCTTCGGGTGTGAAATTGACCAATAGTATCGGGGCAAACGGCGGCACAACATCGAGGCAGCTCTAGTGCGAAATCAGCCAGAGAGTCTGTGACGTGAATAAAACAATAGTACCTAAATTGTCAGGCGTCTCTTTAAAGATGCTTCCTTCTGTAACTTACTAAAGCATATTTGTGTTCATTTCACTCTGTTTTCAGTCCCAGTGTCATCACTTAACCTCTTATCCTGCCTTTCAGGAGTGCTGTTTTCAGGAGCATCCACAGGTTGTGGTCCTCTGTTTGTCCTGCTTCCGTGTTTCCCCCTGCTTTGCTGTGTTTTTTGTCAAACCTGGTTTTGATTCAGTCATTTTGTAAAGACTGTTATCTAAAGCACCTTTGGATGCTGTGTGGATGGGAAGGCGTGCATCATTTTCAGTTCCTGCCCCATGTTGGTGCCATTATTTTTTATCTCAGTCCCTGAGGCAGCCATCCCCCCCCCCCCCCGCACACAGGGTTTTTTTTTTTCAGGCTTCTAAAAATTGGTAGAAACTATATCATGTTTGAGAATCTATTGCAACAATGTATTCAAATTTTACTGCTTTTTAAAAAAAAGTAACCCTAGACCTTTTGTTTGCAGAGTTATGTGACAAAACATACTGGCTGTTCATTTGTCTTTGTAACTCTACAATCCAAAAGTGCTAGGTGGGAGCTGAAAGTGCCATCAAAGTCGCAGCTGACTTATGGCAATCTTTCATGGAGTTTTCAAGGTAAGGACGTTCAAAGGTGGTTTGCCACTACCTGCCTCTGCGTAGCAACCCTAGACTTCCTTGGTTGTCTCCCATCCAAGTGCAAACCAGGGCTGACATAGCTTAGCTCACAAGATCTAATGAGAACAGGCTAACCTGGGCCACCCAAGTCAGGACAAAAGTGCTAGAGCCCTTACTTTTTTAAAAAAACAAACAAGTAAACCTAGAACATTGTTGCAACAGATTGGTGCATAGTTGAAATTATAGCTGGAAAAGCCCTCCAGTGGCAAGGAAGAAGAAAAAAGTTAATTTAAAGTTATTTATATGTGGTTGATGTTTTAACTGTATCTGCACTTTATGAATGTTGTAAGCCGCCCTGAGCCCGCTCCAGCGGGGAGGGTGGGATAGAAATCAAATAAATAATAAATAAATATAAATAAAATGTCAGCCACAGAGGACTGAGAGAAGGAAAGTGAGGGGGAAACTTGCACGTGAATGCTCTGTTGTCTCTGCAAATGCCTCTGTATTGACTTTCTGTGTAAGCAGCTCTGGTTAGGGTGAGCGCAGGGCCACTACTAAGCCTTTTGTTTTAGAGCCATGTTTAATTAGGGTTGTAAAACTGACCACAGAAGCATTCTTAGGTTCATTTTAACCAGAGTTAACAAAGAAGGCTGGGGACAGTACTGCCCGAGTGTCACGATTTAATTTTGCTCGACTCTCAGCTGTCTAATTGCTCATTCAGTGTTTTCCAACAGGGGAAGCTCCTCCTATAATATCCCTGTTGGGATCCCCAGGATCTGTCCTTGGCCTTCTTATATTCTTTCTCTATATATTCTGTCTCTTTCTTTTTTCACTGTCCCATGGCTTTTCAGCATCGCTTACCTGTAAACTGGTGACATTCAGCTTTACCTCTGTTGCCCCTTAATTTCCTCTGTACACCCAATCCAGCACCTCCAGTCATCTGTCTAATATTCCTGCTTAGATATTTCATTGTTGTCTTAAAGACTAAACTTCTCATCTTTCCTCCCAAGATTTCCTCTCTCCATATTGGTTGATAGTGCCACTGTCCATCCTGTAGAGCAGGCGTGAGGCCTTGGTTTTGTCTTCCCTCTCTGTTGCTCCCCATATTGGGTCTGTGGTCTAGATGAAAACTCTGAGTCATGCTGTGGCGGTCTTCTGCTTTGATTACTGCAGTCTTCTCCTCTTTAATCTTACATTTTTTTATTCCTCAGGGCCCCTTTACCTCTTAACCAGCATTCTGCAGCAAAAAAAAATCACCACTCTTTTTATTATGGATATGTGACATCCCCGCTTAAATTCCTGCTTTGGTTCCCTGTGATTTCCCCAGACCAGCATACACTTTTTGTCCTTACCTTCCAAGCATATTTGCCCTTATCACTCTCTTGTATCCCGCGCTACCCATGATATTTTACCTTCCAGCTCTGTCCAAAAGTCTCCTGTTCCCTCAGATGGCTTTGCCCTTTCTTTCTTGCATCTCTTTATGCCTAGAACTGTCTCCGAAAATGTCACCTTTCTTGTTTGCTTCAAATCCCTGCTCAAAAACCCGCCGTTTCCGTGAAGCTTTGGCTGCAACCTCTTCATTCTAAGCATGCAGCCCTGGGGGGAATTTAAATTTCTCACTGGTACTGCCTCTTTCAGGAGCCTTGAAACAGGAGTACCACTTTGGCCTCCTTTCTTATGGCTACTCTGCAGTGGCCCACTTTCATCCCTGCGGAAGCCCTTGTGAGCACAGCCATCATGTATTCGGCTTACTTCCGTCTCTCTCTCTCCTCTCCCTTTTTGCCACCCTTGTCTCAAATTTAAGATTCTGAACCTTTCATCTTGTGCTCTGAGTGCTACATAAAAACTAACATTTGTTAATCATGAAACTGTAAAGGCAAGAATGGGATTTAAAGTCAGAGCCTCAGGGTTGTTTTTTTAAGTTTCCAGAAGTAAAGTACCCAGTATTTATTCAGTGTGCAAGAAAATTAGATAGGAAATATACAGACGAACAATTAATTTCACTATATATTTTTAAAATTGTTTCTTTTTATGAGTGTGTACACATACAAATTGTGTTCTGAATAAGCCAGAAGTGGATTACAGACAGTCATTGCTGCTTGGCAGCTTTATTGATAACAATCAATTGGCTCAGAAACAGCATTTTCCGTCTTAAAAGTGTTTCGAACCAATTTCCCCATTCTGCAGTTGGCAAAATGTTCTCCTTATCTAAATTTCCAGATTTCCGATCTGAGGAGGAGGACAGCAGTCTTCTTTTACACATAATATTAGCATGATATCTGTATGCACACAAATACTAGTAATATACTTTCTAGCTTCTGCATCTCTGCTTCTTGTGGCACAGGATCTAATTGTGTGCTGCCACTGCTTTTCTAATGGGGTTTATGCAGTCTTGCCTAAAAACAATTTCACGTAATCATTACTCTAAATACTGTGGATTTTTCCCTGCTTTGATCCAGAGAAGTTAAACTGTTCCCATTATGTGGGAGCAGTGTATGATTTTCAAGACTCATAAAAAGAGAGCCAGTTTGGTGTAGTGGTTAAGTGCACGGACTCTAATCTGGGAGAACCAGGTTTGATTCCCCATTCCTCCACTTGCACCTGCTGGATGACCTTGGGTAAGCCATAGTTCTGGCACAGCTGTTCTTGAAAAAGAGCAGTTTCTGTCAGAGCTCTCTCAGCCCCACCTACCTCACAGGATGTCTGTTGTGGGGAGGGGAATGGAAAGGCATTTGTAAGCCTCTCTGAGACTCCTTTGGGTAGTGAAGGGCGGGGTATAAATCCAATCTCTTCTTCTTCTCTTCTTCAGTTGTCGGTTGCCTGCCTTTTCTCTGCTTCTTGCTAAGTCAATTTGAGAACCAGTTGTAATGGAGCTGCTTCTTCCTTAACTTCTTCCTTATATTTTGGACTGATCACTGTAAGGAAGCTTAGGGATTTAGTTATGAAGAAGTAAAGAGCTGTTAATGGTAGAAGCAATTAAGGAGACCTGTGGATGTATAAGAGGAAAACTCCCTTGGGTGCAATGTTGAAAGAAAAAACAGATCTCTCTGTCACCATCACTGGCATAAAATACACTTTCAGTGATCTCTCAACCACATTCAGTGGGACTACCATGAATTTTCCTCTACTTGTAATGTCCTTGCTGCCTTGTTTCTTAGGGAGCTGTGAGCAACCAAGAGGAAACTTGAGATCTGTCTAGAAGCTCATGTGTCAATCATCTATATGAGTTCCCTGGAATACACTAGGGCATTGCCAGAAAAGATAAATCAGTTAAATTTTCTTTTGGAGCTCCTTGGAAATTATTTGTAACCATTAGCTGTCAAGGACAGACCATCCTGACTGGTTCTCCAGTACTGTAAGTGTTAGAGGACCTGTGAGACCAACCTTAAACAGTTGCTTATCCATTCATGACACTGGAGTGTGTGGCCTGCCATATGTATTAAGCCTAACATCCATCGAGACAAACCCATGGTTGCCAAAGATGGTCATGTAATCCTGAGCTGTGCCTGTTACAAATTTGTCACCATGCAGGGTGAAGCTCCCCAAAACAGTAGTCAACAACAACGTCATATACAATGTTATTGTGTATGATCTTTTATGACGTTTATAATTTGTGTTTTAATGTATTTTAACTCTTAGTGTAAGCCACCCCAAACCTGCCTTGGTGGGGAGGGCAGGATATAAATTGAACTAAATAAATAAATAAAAACATCTGTCAGTGCTGTTGGATAGTGGGATTGGTGAATTTCAGTGCCCCTACTCTTCTCTGAAAGTGGAAATGTAGTCAAAATGGACTGTCTGTTCATTTTCATCCCACCATTCCTCCAAGGAGCTCAGAGGAGCATGCAGGGTTCTTTCCCTCCCATTTTGTCTTCACAGCAACCCTGTGAGGTAAACCAGAGTGCATGAGCTTTGTGGCCAAGTGAGTGTTTGAACCTAGGTCTCCATGTCCGTAGAACCATCGCTATGCCAAACTGGTCCTCTGTCAGGGTTAAGTCTGAGGAGTCCTCCCCGGAGGAAGAGGTTGCCGTAGTGGCTAAGCCCACAGAGGTCAAAACTCCAGAAGGCACCATGTTTCCTGGGCTCTTTGATTGTCAGCCTCCATCAGAAGACAAATTGACAGCTGTGCTGCTGTGCTGGAAGCCTGGGTGGCTCATGAACAGAAGCTGGAGTGAGAGACTGGGGCTGCTGAGGATTCTGCTAAGGAGACCCACCTTGCCAAGGATCCCATGGTCACACCCCAGAACTCCAGGAGCACAGAAGATGGAAAGCCCAGATGGAAGCTCAGCTCAGATAGTTGGAATGCCTGTCCAGTCGTTCAGGACCTCTCCTCTGCCCATGAGGCCTTGGAAGACCAAGAAAGAAGGAAAAGAATGTGCAGGATTCTCTCTCTCCCAGCTGCTCCTCCACCCCCCTGTTTAGGCTTTTGCACCATATCCAAATGTACGAAACTGATTAAAAAGTCTCCAAGAAAAAAAAGACCAAGATCCACTGTGAGGCTTCGCAGAATGTTAGGCAGAGTCAAGCTGAAAGTGCCTGCGAGCTTCAGGCCACTGTTACAGCTGTAGTCCCTAGTTCGTATAAGTACCGTCAGCCTAGCTCTGGCTGTTTGTGGGATCAACAGCTCTGATTGTGCCTGCTGTCCCTGCCTGCCTGGACTCCTGCCTGCCTGCGTTTGTGAGAACTTTGGCATGCTGGACATCCTCTGGAATCAGGTGAAGAATTGAGTATTCTTATAGACTACAGAAACGCCCTTTCTTCTCCCATGCTGCCCCTCCAGAGTAGGCATCTGGGAGCATCTGGGACTGAACAAGCCCTCCTGCATCATCCAGCCAGGTTGATGATTCACCAGCAACTTGGTTTCCTGTTCATTGACATGGATAAAGGAGGAAATTAATATAGAAGTTACCAGGAAATGTATGCTGGCTGATGTAATACTGACAACTTGAGAAAATGGGCTGAGGAAGGTTCTCGTCAGCTTCCTGTGGGTTCCTGTAACTGTATCACTGTACATGGAATTAGCAGTCCAGCGACGTTGTCTTTGAGTGTCTTGCAGATTCTCTTATACTATTTGAACAGCAGCTGAACAAAATAAGGAAATGGCATCATTCTGTGTCTACTTGAGTGCGTTACTTGAAGATGGATTTTAGAAGCTTCACCGGGGGAAATTGCCAAGATGCTATTCAGGCTGAAAACCAGACAGCTGTTTTAAAACTTCAGGAAGATGGAGATTTTTGCCCCCCCACCCACAAGTCGTGATCTGTTTTATACCAGTCAAATCTTCCTGAGGACATTAGTACTGATGTTACAACTAGAAGGCTAAAAACATTGCCTTTCTTAAGAAAAATAATCTGTTTGTGAAAAATAAAGTAACACCAAAACACCAAGTTTGCTATTTATCTGCCAAGTATTTATGCAGCATCAGTACAAGCCATTTCTCCACTATCCAGTCTCTGTACATTATTGCCCAGATCAGAGAACAGTTATTTATGTTCCTTGTTATGTCTCCTGAAGTGACACTGACTGCACCAGTGGTCTGTTTTTTTTTCCAGGATTAGGAACATTTCTGTACTTTGCATGTGTGCAGAAAGACCACATGGGCAAAAAAGAAGCTGGGAAATTAATTGCAAGATGGCACTTGGGACTGTGAAGTCAAACAGAGCGTGCTGAAGTGCTTATAAAAATAGGTCTGTTAGTTGGTAGGGGTTTTGGACTGCCATTTGAGCTGGCAGGGTGGGCCGCTTGCTCTTAGGCTGATCATTTTATGAGCAGACATAGCAGAATGAAACATCCGGCTAGGGTACATACTCATGAGTGGATCCATTGATGAGTAAAATGCCCTTGACTGCCCTATGATGTATGGGGACCACTGTTCCTTGTGATGGTCTGGACTGACATTGCAAAGAACACTTTGGGCGGTTTACTGTGCCATCCTAAGTGGAGTTGCACCTTTCTTTAACTCAGTTCAGGATGGCATTGTCAGGATAATTTCATTGTGGTTCAGGAAAATCTATACCAAAACCTGAAAGAGGATCTGTAAATGGATACTTTACCCAAGATGAGATGGGTTGGGACATCAGCTGTTCATAAGAAGGCATGGTCTTCCCTGTTGGTATCTAACATTCTGTCAACTTCTCTGAAGCTCTAGCTCTTCTGAAGTAGCCTGAATCCCAGCGTGGAAACTGCTTTGATCGCTATAAAGTATATATATTTTTAGTAGGACTGCTGTCTGTTCTATCATTTTTCCCTGTTAGGTTATCAGCTGATAAATTGTAGGTAAACACGTTATACCGCTGAGCTACAAAGCAACCCGAGCATTCCTATTTACTTTCAAAGCTTTAAATGACTAACTCTTTGCATTGTTTCCTGTAGTGACTCTGGACGAGGCAGCAGCTTGTTAGACAGAGCCATTGCTGACAGGCGACAGCTTAGTACGATTACTTTGCCAGACTTCAGTGACCCTGAAACAGGTGAGGATTAGTGTCTAGAACAATAAAGTGTCAGTAACAAAATGTGTCATCTGTAGATACTATAATCTAGATTCATCAAACCACTTCAGGTAGGATTGAGACAATTTCATTTTAAATATTGCTGGAGGAACTACCATGTATGTAACCCGAAATTTTTGTTGTTTGTATTAAATTTTCCGTAGATTGATGTCTGTGTACCCTGTTAAAAAAAATATAGGCATAAGGGCTTTGAATCTCTGCATATTAATTGTGGTATATGCTAAAAACCCCTCAAGATGCCACTAGGGTCCAGTGGAAGATCTTGTGACTTTGCCCTCTTACCTGTCTAACAGAGAAGCTCACATATGCTGACAGCCAGAATCTAGAGAACTGTGCAGTTCAGGCTACAGTCCTGTGCACGTTTTCATATGTGTGAGCGCCATTGAGTTCAGTGGGGTTTATTCCTAAGTAAATGGGCAATATCATTGGACTGCATGGGCTTATTCGCACCTTATGTTTTCCAGGTGTACACATAAGTTTGCATACAAATGCACTCGTCAAAGAGTTGAAATTGGGTGCATTACCTTACAAAAAGTTTTTTGGAAGTCAGGAAAAAGTCCCCTTAGGAATGTGCAAGCCTTTCCCCTTGCCTCCAAGTGGTTGATGCACAGTGGTTTATCTGAATAATGCTTCAGAACATACTTTTAGTATCCACTTAAAAAAAAAATTAACATCTTCCAGCACATTAGTAGACATTATTGTCTGAACAGCCTTTTTCTTTCTTTTTTTTTACGCAGGCTAAGCGAAGGGATACCAGTTTAAGGACTGTCTCATAAAGCAGTTTTAACTTTTAAAAAAATTAATAGCGCAACAGATAATGAACCTGTCTTTCAAGCACAGGGCAAAAATAAATTGCATGATGATTTATCCATATTGGTCCCTAATCTCTCTGTATAATCACTCTCTTATGCCCATCTGTTTCCACTGGAATATAAAACCATTTTCTATTTTCACAAACAAACATCGTGTGACCCTAATAGTTGAGAATGCAGCTTTCTTATTAAAGGCAGCATTAGTGGGTTGTTTTTGTAAGGAAATGCTTAATGGATGTCAGTCTCTACTATTCTGGATTTTTTTTAACCGGTTGTATGGTGGTGTATATTTGAGTTCTTTGCTAAAGTTGTGCCCTTTCACATGGTTATTTAAAAGAGTTTTTATTAGGCAGGCCTCGATGCTAAAGACATATTAGCCCTTGCGGACAACATAAGGCATATACACGCTGGGGGAGTCAAGATTACACTAGCCAGCCTCCCCCTGCATACTGTAGCCACGCTGGACTCCTCTGACATCCATGCATTGGATGTCAAATTTGCATAGGGATCTATGTTAATTGGCCCCTATTGTAAGGGAGCATCCAGTCCATAGATTTCAGGTGGGCTTGGAGGAAAGGAGGCAGGGGCTTGTGTGAGCCTTTTCCTCTTTGCCTGGTAGATGCTACACAGGGGAGCTAATGGCCCTCTGGTCCCTTAATTAGCAGCTTAATGGGTTTAATTTTCCTGGTCATGTTTGTTTAGCTCCATGCCCTAAAAAGCTTCCGCTGCCCATTTCCATGCATTAAGCCTCTCTTAAAGGGTGAGAATGTCTAATGAAGGGCCAATATTAAAAACCTAGTTAGAACTTATACAAAAATACAAGTATTTATTAGAAAGACAGTTAAAAACATACATAAGGGCCCAATGAAAGCCTCGTAAAAAAGTATAGCAACCTTAGTGCTATGTCTTCTAAGGCTGTGGGGAAACCTGCATTAAACCATCACACTTGGTACAATATCTTTGTGGCTCAGTGCAAAAGGAATGAAATTCTAAACTGTTTGCAAAGTTGTAGGATTGTTCAGGACTGAAAAATAGCACTGTTCTTTTAAATTACTTTGTGCTAGATTGAATTAATTCTGCATTTCAGTTGCTCACTGCTTTGGAAACTATATTGCAGTGTTTTGTTCCAGGTTTTAAGAAAAGTTGATTTCCAATGTGATATCAATGTATCCAAGATAGCCATGGAAATTTATACATGGTAATGCTAGATGCAGTAGTCTGGTATGCCAGTGTCTGCCTTCTGTTACAGACTTCAAAGATATTTTAAGGAAAATACTGAAATGTTATTGTTTGTACATGTTCTAACCAAGTTGCTTTCATTAAGAACAAATGAAAACAAATAGGTATGCAATTCCCTCTGGTCAATGACCAAAGGCCAGTAAAGTTTCTTCCTTTTGGTCCAAAGCAAAATCAGCTTTCCTTGAAAGAGGCCCACCACTGCTCTGGCATCATTTCCTGCATCCCGACCGGAGTATTTGTTAGGGTTTTTCTTAGGTCTCAGCTCCTCTTTTTCCCTCCTCCTTTTCCCTCCTCCTAATGCTTTCACTAATAATAAGTCCCTTCTGTCCTTCGTTCCTTTTACTACCTCCCATCCTAGTGGATATCTTCTTGTTACACCCAGGTAATGTAAGCTAATTCCTGCCCATGAATGCAATCCACAATTCAGTACAAGTGCTGAAGCTTCCCAAATATGACTCAACAAATTTAGATCTGGTCCGTTCTTTTGGCCTGCTGGACTAGAACCAGACCTCAATTAAAAAGTCAGCAGCTTCTTGACTTGTTTATGAGAGGGAAGATTGCTGTCCTTGATGCCATAAAAGAAAGAAAGCCTTAGCATCGGAACCCATTTTTAAGTGAGCTTGACTGTTAATATGTCATTTCTCCCCCCACTTGCATTATGACCTGGCAGCCATGTAAACTAGTGCATTTTCTTACCTATGAAAATGTCAATTTTTCACATTCTAGAATGCACTGGTCCTGTTCTGGATCTGGGTAGAGTTATGACAGATCATAGACCAGGCTGCAAGTAAACAAACACAAAGACAAAGTTGCCTTATACCAAGTAAAACAATTGGTGCATCTAGCTCAGCACTGTTGTGATTGGTCTCTGGTTCTTAGGCACTGGAAAGGTCTCTACTAGGAGTGTGCAACCCTTCACCCTGATACTTTTCAGGTTCCGGTATATTGAACCTGGAAAATATTGCCATTTCCTGATATTCCCAAATCCCAATACTGGTATGGTATTTGGATTCGGTAAAGGAAACCTGATTTGTTTTGATTCCACTGTCCTCATATGCTATAATGGAGAATCAATCCGGGGGTATCTGGGGCTCAGGGGGGCGTTTTTTTTGGGATAGATGCACCAAATTTGCAGCATAGCTGCTGGTGCCTTTCCTTAAAAAAAAAAAAAAAGCTCCAAGTTTCAAAAAGATTGGACCAGGGGATTCAATTCTATGGGTCCTAGAAGAAGGTGCCCCCATTCTCCATTGTTTCCAGTAGAGGGGGGAAAGGCATTTAAAGGGAGTGCAGTCCCTTTAAACACCTCCAAGTGGTGAGTTCACCCAGAAGGCATCAAAAGGGACCACAATCCATTTAAATGCCCCTTAAGTTTGGCTATCTGTCAGTTCCAAAAATCACAAATATTTTCAGGATTTGGGAGGCCTGAGCATTTTGGATAAACAAAATACAGCCCCAATTTAAAACCAGCTTAAAAAATACCTGGAAAATACTGGCTGAAATCCTTTAATTGGAGATGCTAGGTATTGGACCTTGTCCATGCAACCTATGTGCTCCACCACTAAACCACAGCCCCTCCCCTGAGTACTGGCAGGGCTAATTCCACAGTCTGGCATTTCTGCCTAGGAGCTGCTAGCCTGGTTTTAGGACAGCCTTGCGGATTATTATAAAAGGTCTTGCCAGCCTGTCTGCACTGTTGTGTCGCAGGGCAGCTTGAGTAGTGGCTGTGACAGTCAACTCACCTAGAAGGAATTCGTATTTCTATTTCACAAGTAAGCAGTGGCTAAGTGCAACCCTCTTCTTTAGGCCCTTTCTTCCAGCCAGCAAAGCCACAGTATTTGAGGCACAATTCTAGGGACCATCCATGATCCAGGCTATTAAAATTAATCCTTCCTGGTTTGTTCTGCCCACGGTCATGCTGCATGGTGGATGCTTCCCTTCCTCTCCGTCAGCAGTCTGATTCTGTTTACAGAATACTGGGGATGTTGAAGTGGGGTAGGGGGTTGACAACTAAATCACAGCTGGCACTAGTTGTTTTTAAAGGCTGCAGTTGGTGGTGGTGACATCTCCATTGCTGTAGGAGCTGCAGAGCAGGGGTGGGTTGGCTATGTATAGGGAAGTTTCCTGGTGGGCCACTGCCCTCGAATGCTGATGGTGGCCAAGCCCCAGCAACTCAGCCAACTCCTCAGGGGCCACTTGGTACCCTTCACTGGTCATCAGTGTCAGCTCACCGGTTGTCTCCTCCTGCACTGTTAATAATCGAATTTCCAACATTGCATATAAAAACCAACAAATATTGTTTAATTGTACACGGTGATGTACTGTTTCACTGGATTTTGTGGGATGAGGCAAAGGGTGAACCCAGTGCCATTGTGGGCACCCCAACGTTCAGTAGCCCCTGAAGTATTGGCTTGTAGTACCACAGGGGCCACTCGGCTGGGCTTGCTCTAGGTCCATGTTCACTTTCCAGTCTGCTCCTCCTGCATAGCATCATCCCTCCCGAAGCTCGTCCAGCTTTCGAAATCTATGCTGTCTTCTCCCACTTATGCTCTGCCAGCTGTGACAAACGTCCCACCTACATGCCAAGCAGAAGGGCTTGTATGTTGGGTAAGAAGGGGGCAGGAGATGAGTTCTACAATATAGGACTGCATTTGAGTCATTTTAAGGTAATAGTCTTGTCCAGTTTATTTAACTAACATGGAACAATCCCTTGTCTCCTGGGAGGAAAGGTTAGATTAATAAAACTATTTTTGTATCGTCCAGCAGTACAGATAGGAACATGGTGAGTAGTCTGTTGTGAGTTATATACCAAGGGGCTTGGGCAGGTATCAGCACCTCCTTCGTCTTTGGGACAGGGCAGGTTAGATGGCCTATTGTGTACTGTCATCCAAAAATTGTTCTAAAAAGCAACCCCTTGCTGCCAGTTCGCCAGGGGCTTACTGCCTCATTTGTAGCCCAGGTGGACATTTAACAGCTTCTGGTTCTTAGGAAAGTCTTAAGAGGGTCTTAGGGGTAATCATGTCTATTAACTTTTTCCAATCAAGAAATTTGCTTTTCAGAAGTTTGTATGAACTATTTCCTTTCCAAAATAAATTGATATGACTGAAACTAGTTTTGTACCCCAAAAATTATCAGTTAAAATTTTATACTACGTGTATTTTTTAAAGTTTATATAAGAAAGCTGACATTTGAAGTGGTTCTCAGAAATTAATTGGGGGAGGGGGTTGTGATTAAACTGTTGCACCCATATTTACATCCTATCCCCCCCTTTCTTGGCATCCATTAATCCATTCAAATCCTGTTCCTGGCATTTTCTTTATAATTTTTCTCTTTCACTCTTTTTAGCTTCTGATTCCTCCACATCTTCACCTCTCTCAAGAACAGAATCTCCTCTCCACCTGTTTATGTCTCCTCAGTCTCCTCACCCTCATCCCAAAACTGATACCTTTGTCTGGCCCTATGCAGCCAATCCATGCTGTGACCACGTTCCTGGGCCCTGCGAAGCTCCACTCTGTAAACTGATTTCCTCTTTCTGATAGGCGTGTTAGTTTGCTCTCTGTTTGTGCTTCTGATAATCTCTGGAACTGCTAAGCACTGAACTGTTCTTGAACATCAGGATGTTTGGTAGGAGCACCACCTACCTGTTTAGATATACTTGATTGATATTTCGTGGATGGTAAAAACGTTTGGAAGTTCCATTGCTATCGGCTGCAGTACTCTGTCTCCACATACCTCAACACTGATAGTTTTGAGTGGCCATACTGTGAAATGAGCCTCACAGCTCCAGCCAACCAGAAAGTCCCATGAATTGCTACCCATGAGAAACACTAGGGGGCTTCATTGCCTCCTTGAGAGCACAGAGCAAGCATGCTCTCTGAGAGCTGCCCCTGGATTAAAGAAACCACAGGGCCAACCAGTCCAACAATCAATTGTCACTGTGGCAGAGAAGGACAGAGGATCTATGTCAGAGACCATGAAGCTGGTCTCCTTGACAGCAGGGCAGCAGCATTGCTGGGTGAGATAGGTAACTGCCCACCCCCACATTTTTGTGGGAATGTAGGGGATCTGGGGATCTTGCAGTTTGGGCCAGCACATGTAGGCCAAGGCGGGCCCTCCACAGCCCAGCTGTTAGAAGCCCTGGAATGGGAAGAAGGAAAAGAACCCATGGGGTGCCATTTAATCTCCTTATCTCTGGGTATGAGGCCTTGCTTGACCTGAGGTGATCTTGGCCCCCTTGCTCTTCCATGCTACCCCTTCTTCACATGCATGTTTTCCTCAACACAGTGTCTGAAGTAGCCCTCAGAAAACCGGCTGTTAGTATAGTATGCAAGTGGGATTTCCGTCTTCTTGACCCCCAACTTGTCGATGATATACCAGAGGGTGAAAGAGTATTATCAGTTAATGTTGCTTTTATGATGGCTGCTTGTGGTTACAATGGCTTATCTTCAGAACTGACTGTTTGCTAGGAACTTAGGTTATATCTGGAATCTTTATAATACTTAATTAGGTTTGTTATCTTAGAGCCCTTATTGAGCAGAATTGGCAAACAAATACCATTTTAGACTGGTTTCAAGGAAGACAAATTTTATTCTTTATTTATTCTGTGTTTTTGGCTATTAAAAATGGCTTACTCTGTACAGTTGGGTGGTGCTGTGTGAGTAAAAAAAATCTTTGTCTCTGGCACAGAATTAGACATGCAAGTGCAAGGAAAATAAATAACAAAGGAGTGCGAATTAATCAGGTCACAATGCAGTCAGGTCCCATTTCAAATACACTCTGAAAGGATGGCTTTTGTATTAACACTCACTATGTTCCCACTTGTTTTTTCTGGGCTTTTTGTTATTCTGGTTCTTCACCGGGCCCTGTTAAGAACAGTGCACCTGTTTTTTAAAAAATCCCCTATACAGAATGAGGTGCTAGGTTGAGATGGTACAATTTGGGACTATCCCACACATGTAGTAAAGTGACATCTTTGGAAGAAAACAACATGAAACTTCTCTCCATCAAGTGCTCATTGACTGCATGGAGGGAAGGCCATACTGCTTTAATCCATCTGCCCTGCAGTCTGAAGTAGTATACTGCAGAATTCTGTTCCCATATTCTGATCAAAATTTCTCTGATAAGTTTAGTTTGTATTTAGCTTTTGTCACAGACCTCTGACATGTCACTGTCAGAAATCCAGTATCGGCAGTGGCCCTGGAATGAATGCCCACACAACTCCTTTTTAAGCAGAGTGATTCATTAAAAGTTGGATGGTGCTTTGAACCAGTGGGAACTTCTTTTGCCTCCACAGAGGCTTAGGAAATTAAGGATTGGCTTCAGGTTTTGCAAAACGTTAACACAGTTTCATTAGTTGAGGAAGTGTCATAGACAAATTTCCTTTTTAAAATTGAACCTCGGTCAAGCATATGGCCATAACGTAGCGTGGCCCTTGTAGTATTAAATTGTTTGCCTTTGGTGAGGGCTGTGACTCACTTGGAACTCCACCAGAATGAATAATGAGAAGTTGCCAGAATGCAAACAGCACAATAGGCTGTGAAATTTCCATCCCCAGTGAAAGCCACAGTAGCAATAAGAGAGAAAGATTTGTGGTACATTTTTGCAGGAACTTGTACTTCAGACCTTCACTTGCCTTAAGAACAGACCTTCCTGTTTGTGAACTGAATAAAACGCCACTCCCCCTTTCAGCTTTTCTTTTTAGTTCATATAGGTAGAAAATGGTACACCTCCTCTACAGCTTTTGTCCTATGAATATTGTTATTTTCCTGTTCATCGTCATGGCTTCTGTGCATTCCCACATGGGGACTGCGCTTTCACAGACCGGCCATGGAGAGGAGCTAACAAGCTTTATCAAGAAGTTTCTAGAGCCCAAGAGTGCTCCCCCTTCCTTTCAGTTTTCAGCGTAGCATTTCTCACCCAAAGAGTCATGTGACAGAGGAGGGGGAGCACTCTTCCCTCAGTTCTCTTCTCGCCACCATAAGGAGAGGACATACCAGAACAAGCTAACTGTGAATGATGTCCTTCAGTGCTTCTGACTGGATTTTCCGCAGCAAAAGGGTAGGGTGCCACTTTTTAAGGAATGCAATGAATGTGGAGACAAAAGGGCGCAAAATGACGAACACAAATCGTGCCTCTTATGTTTGGGTGAGGGTCATAATACTGCCTCATTCCCGGCCTGCCACCACCTCACGCCAAAGGCTAGAGAGGGAAGAGTGGCTAGACTTAAACCATCTCTGTGGGGAAAAGCTTCGGGAGCTCCAGGACTGAATTCAGATAAACACCCAAACATAGAAAAAAAGATCAAGGGTCCCATTGGTAAGCTTAGTACTGACCCCCTTGAAGCCACAGCCAGCTAAAAAATCAACGGTTACACAATCACCTCAGAGCCTCAGACAAAAATATCGAAGACAAAGGCAAAACATACACACCGCACCTCACCATTCACTGTCTCCTTGATATCAGTTGTTGCCACGGCACTGACAATCCCCCTCACCCCAACGTTGATCTTCACTTTTGCCTCAGGGTTGAGCTAAGTCACTGGGTCATCATCGCTCCCAAGTAGGCATCAGAACTGGGCATCGTCACCGGATGATCATGCTTCAATGTTGCCTCAACGTCGGTCATCACCGATACTGATTGACCTCTCCCAGAGACTGAGAACTCCGTCACCTTTGGGGCAACACCACCAATCTCTGAGGCTTTCAGACCAGGAAGTCTTCAAGATCCCAACAGCAAAACCTCTACTGCAACATGGACGACAAGACGAGGGATCTTGAATCGGCAGCACTACAAAATACCTCCTAGTTCCCTTTTCCAATGATGTTCCACACACAGTGGGGCTTATGGAACCAGCAGCAGTTTCCTCCATGGTATCCACCATCACAATCTTCCAAGTCCAGGGTGGAATGCTTGGGGATGCATTCCAGCTTGACATGGGTACCTGTCCTGTTTTATGCATTTTCCTCATTTTGGTATCCTTTTCAAGGTGGTCATCAAATTGAAGGCAAACAAAACAACCTGCATACTTCTCGCAACCTGGCACGGGAACTCACAAATCCCTCCTGTTAGAGGAGAACCTTCTACAAGTAGCCCTGATCACCCATTCTGGGCTCAGGCCCTTACACCTGACAGCTTGGTTGACCAACCACTAGTGCCATTGACAGAAGGGTGACAGAAATCATGATTGCCTCACGCAGGCCCTCTGCAAGAAGGTCATATGAGTATAAGAAGAAAAAGAGATTGGATTAATACCCCGGCCTTTCTCAGAATCTCAGAGCGGTTTATAATCTCGTTCCCTTTCTCTCCCCACAACAGACACCCTGTGAGGTAAGTGGGGCTGAGAGAGCTCTAAGAGAACTTCTCTTGAGAGAACAGCTCTCAGAGAACTTTGATTGACCCCAGGTCACCCAGCAACTGCATATGAAGCCATGAGGAATCAAACCCAGTTCTGCCGTTCTTAACCACTACACCAAACTGGCTCTCTCTAAATGGAAGAAGTTCTCAATACGGGCAAAGGAACAAGGGATCAGTCCAGTAATCTGTGACACATATAAGATATTTGAGTACCTCCTTACCTTGAAGGATGAAGGCTTCATCTATTGAAGTCCACTTAGCTACTATCTCAGATTTTCATGAGACAGTAAACTTTTCCAGCTTTTGGTAGTAGAGAGTTCAAACGTGTCCTTAAAGGTTTGTTGAATTTATTCCACCCTGTTCCTCAGTGCAACTGATCTCTGGTTTTGTCCAGATTGATTTATAAACCTGACTGACTGACTGACTGACCATTTGAACTGATGGTGAGGTCTGATTTGTCTTTTCTTTCATATAAGAAGGCATTTTTGGTGTCTATCACCTCTGCCCACAGGGTAGGGGAACTAAGCACACTTTGCTGTGACCCTCCCTCTCTAAAATTCCATTTAGATAAAGTGGTTCTGAGACCACGCCTGGAATTCCTCCCTAAGATAGTCTCCCGGTTTCATATGGGTCAGGACATCGCCTTTCCAGTTTTCTTCCCTTCCCTGACTTCTGCAGCAGAAAGGACGCTGCACTCGTTAGATGTTAGAAGGGCTTTCCTCTTTTATTTAAAAAGTACAGAGTAACTTAGGAGATGCAGGAATTTAGCCCTCTGTTTCAGAGGCCACATTAAAGGGAAGGCTGCCTCTGCACAGACCTTGTCTAGATGAATAGTTTCCACAGTTAGAGCAGCAGACACCCAAACAGGTAGGAGCTGTCCAGTCACTGTATCTGCACCTTCAATGAGGGCTCCAGCTTCTTTGGTAGCAACCTCATCCAGACTACTTCTTGAGGATGTATGCAAGGCAGCCACCTGGTCAACACCTTCGACTTTTGTTTGGCATTACTCCATGGACATCACCTCCTGGAGAGAGGCAGCTGTAGGGAAAGCAGTGTTACAGTCAATCTTCCACTGATCCAGCCCACACCCTCCTCCTAGGTAAGTGAACTTGCTTTTCTCCCATGTGGGACTGCACAGAATCCACAAAAGTGAAAACAGG